CCAACTTCAACGGGAAGTTTTGAGTTGGGAAAATGGCCATTACACTCCTTATCCCTGAGCCATAGTAGGCGTGGCATTTGAACGTCACGGTTGAAGAACGCAGCCACGCCTACCCGATCTCAGGGATTTCGAATTTACTTATGGGCCGACCATAATAGTCAAGTTGCTCTTGAGAATATGATTAAATACTATTCGGTTTACCTACAACCAGAATCACGAGTGCTATCCACTGATTGACGGAGAGCTTCTTTCCCAAGAAGAAATACATGAACAAAGCTGTAGTGAAGATCTTCATTTGATATGCTACCTGAAAGAGCCTAAACGTGAAATAGTTAGCATTCCTGGAGTTCCGATGTTTATTAACTTGTTGGAATTCACATCTGTGAGCAATACTGGTGTTTCAGGCTTTCACATTGTTTTTCAACGCAGTCATTTTCAGGGGACAAAACGTGTCCCTGACAATTGTGTTCCAGAACCTTCGAAATATTCGGGAAAGGCGTACTTTTTATGCAGACCGTTTTCCATGCCCACAGCAGTCTTTTAAATGCGCAAAGCTCCGGTGGTCTCTGAATCCGTTGAAGCGTAGAAGGTCATCTTCAAACACGAAGTAGTGTAGCAGGACCCTTCAAAATCCGGAATACCTTAACCATCTGGTAGCGTTACACATGCTGGCATTAGTCGTTGAGGAAGTTACGTACCGCCACCACGACCAAATGTAATTGTTTCATTTTGTTGGCAACTTGTAGGATAGATAAACTCTTTATCCCTAAGACGGATTAGGCGCTGCACTTGAGCGTGGTGTAGAATGGGTTACTCGTGCGATATTTCAGACAACTGTCATCGTGTTGTGTTGGGCAGAGATGACGACGATTGTCTCAGTACGAAAAGATCTCTCCAAAAGTACAGCCACCTCACGTTTAGTTGAAGTACGCAGCCACGCCTACACTGCACATCCTGGCGATGGGCATGCTTGCATACTTTATATGAACATGGCGTAGGGTGCGTTAATCATCCTATATTTCTATTTGTTACAAGTGTTGGGCGCAGTTCGACAACGGAGGGGAGGGCATTCTGCACTTTTGCTACCTACCAGCAACGTGTCGACCCATCTACCCAGCTTCTTCTCGAATTGACAGGTTTTACCATTTACCATGATGGCTTGACGCTCCAGCTTCACAAGGATTTACAGGTTCCACCACAGTGAGACTTGTAAATCGGAACTAGCGAAGCAGTGAAAGTGCGAAATGCCCCCTCCCACCTTCGCCGAACAGCGCCCAAGTGTTGTGCGGTCTTGTACTGGACAAAGTCATGGTTGCAATTGTTCTGAAACTGCAGCATTCCTTGAAAAGCGCAGTTGCCGCCATGTTGCAATGAAGAACGCAGTCACGTACTCTCCCCGCTGATCTGCAGGTCACCATCTTCTGACATTCCAAGAAGAGGACCTCAGCTTTCTTTCATTCAGGTGGCATTACGTCACGCATACAAAACTGAGTAAGAAACGCTTCATGTCTTGAAAGACCGTCTCCCCGGGTTGTTGGCATTCATGCGCCAAAAGTGCACGCATATAGCTCTGCAAGTTCCCATTACAAATGACTTTTTACGCTGTACTGATTACTACTAGTTGAAAGGAGCCGGCAAGATCGAATCTTCTTTATTTGCCTGACCTAAATTTGCTATGAACTCCTAAATGACCGAGTACTTTGTTCAAGATAGCACTGCGAGATATGAACTGCAGCACCGACATTAGAAAACCCAATCGCCTCATTCTGTTTATCTTTTTTTGATAGTGATAGCTGCAGCTCTTCACTATGGTCAAATTGGGTCGAACTTATGGTCTGACGAAAAAACTGACAAGGTGCCCCGATCACCACCAGTCTAATCCTTGTTCCCTCAAATGTGGAATGTCCACGCTTTCTGTAAAACGAGGGAAGCACAGCGATTTTCATGGAAATTTGCCGTAACAATGGAGCACTGAAAAGATACTTCAAGCCCAATACCCTAAAGTCCGGTGGATAAGTCCGCCATCAAATAATTCCGCGCGACACCGCGATCGCCGCGCGCGCGAGCACCAAGTGGGACCCCGGAAGTAGAAACCAATGGTTATTTCCAGTAAAAAAAAGATATGAAATGACATCTCTGAAGGATGTGATCATAGAAAAAATGGTAAAGGGTGGATGACTGGGGAAATGATGAGAGACTAGATAACAGAAGTTCACAGCCAACAACATGAAGAGATTATCTGCTAATTACTAGCTCTCTTAAATGAACATTTCAGGGACGGCTTCAAAGTAGGGCTGAGAAAAGTCGATGTTGATCGACTGCGACAAAGGGATCCAGAATTTGGCAGAAGATTTCTGTTTTGCCATTCTCCTTGTCTAAAGTATCACAAACTGTGAACGCAACCTATTACCACATCCATTATTGATTATACAATTTCGTTTTGCTTGGAAATGGATCTACATATAATAAGATTCATTTGAAACGTTTTCTATCTCATTTTTCCTCGAAATTACCTTAATTGAATGTATTTCTAAAATTTGTTGTGAACGTTCTTCATAAAAAGTCTTCTCTTATTATTGCTTATTACAAACTTCTGTTATCCAGTTCCCTAACAGTTTTTTCCACCACACTACCTTTACTGTTTCTTTTTATAGCCGCGTTTTCTTGAAACGCCCTTTCAAACCATTTTTCCTGGAAATAACTGGTTCCAGTTTGCAGTGTCCCATCTAGTGTCCCGCGCGCGGTGATTGCGATGTCGCGCAGACTTATCTGAGGCAGCGTTCAGAATTGTTGTGCTTTGTCGCGTTGAAATTGTCGCGCCACAATTGTCGCGCTGCAATTGTCGCGCTTCAATTGTCGCGTTGCAAATGTCGCGCTGCAATTGTCGCGCTGCAATTGTACCAGACCCCAGCTTCCCTTTATGTTCTTTCTTCCGGTATTCAATCCCTTTTTCACTGTTTCTCATTTCTACCTGATTCTTAGCTCCTCTTTTTCACTTTAACATTGAATTTCAATGTAGTTTTTGATACAGGACACTGTGATAATGATTTTGTATACCGTTTCAGAAAAAACTCGTCGTCAAAAACGTCAAAAACTCAAAAAACTCAAAACGTCGTCAAAACTTCAAAAACTACATTAAAACTCATTGTCAGTGCGAAATAGTGGACCTAAAAATCAGGTGGAAATGAGAAACAGTGCGAAAGGGGTTGAATACCGAAAAAACATAAAAGGAAGCTGGGGTCTGGTACAATGGCAGGCTACACTTGCAGCGCGACATTTGAAGCGCAACAAATCTGAACGCTGCCTAATGGTGGACTTATCTATCAGACTTTAGGGTTTTTGATTTCTACCAAAAAACATCCCGATAGTCCTCGAGCGCAGTTTTGATTTCCTCTACACACTGTTCCTCGAAAAATGAATTCTAGGGTGACATGCAACTTACACAAAATGTGGTAGCCTCCAGATGAGTAAGTGCGACGTAATAGAGATTGTTCTGTAGAGTGTAGATCAATGCTGGCACACAGACTTTTATCGTTTCCACAGGATTATCATAGATCGCCTCCTTGAGTTCAAGCAGAAATCTAAAATTTTTGTTCCTGGATTTAAATCTCTTCTATTGCCGTCAACGAAAAAAGCAGAGCTATAATGGCACTGCACACACTATAAGGGGAATGATATTTTACTGTAAAAGATTATTACCGGAGAAGCTGCCGGATCCTGGTATCGATGCAAGTGCTGCACCTTGAAAATAGCGCGGGAGGACTCTTGAAGCGCCACACGGTAACAATGCCCTCCAATCCCGTTCCCTTGTACCTTTGAGCGGAGCAAGTGGGGGCGCTACTGCGGCTGCGCATTCATCCATCTTGCACAGGCGCGTGTGCTATATGTCTATTGAAAAGGGTTTTGTCTAAAGCTATGGATCGAAAAGTGCGATATCGTCATTCAGCACTTTCCCGCTCTAGACAGTTAGTCATTGGTCATCAACTAGGGACAGCTTTCAAGAAACACAAAGCTTACGAAGAAGGAATATTTACCTAATGCATTCATAAAAACAGATTGCACGCTCAATTCAAATATTGGTGGAGACCTCACTTGATGAAAGACTTAGATGAGCAAATAATGACGACAGTGCAGGTGAGCAGCTTCACGAGTTCCATCATGAAGACGTTGACGGTCGTGAAGAAACTTCAGATTCATGGCGATATCTCGTATATCGCGCCAATAGTGGCATGCTTGAAATACAGCATTATGGGTGTTAAAATTTTTTAACAAGGAGATGATAGACTGATGACGTAAAAATCCACCATTGTGCAGTGCGGGCTTAATCAGCTGCTGCGGCTCCTCGTAAAAGAACCATCAGACAACTTCATAAAAGCAAAAAAGCAAAAAAAACAACAGTAGTATAACAAAGGCGTGTGAGCAAAACTAATTTTGGTCGCTCCAATGCACAAAGTTAGGAGCCTTATTCACGACCCCCATGGGTTATCCCGGAACTGAGACGGAACGCAGACAGTGTGAGAAAGTTCTGAAGCATCAAAAAAATTTCCCGAAGACTCGGCGCCGAGCCACCGGTTCTCAAACAAACAACTCCAGTACTCCCGACAGCATATTCGTATCCAGCCAGGAAAAAAGCCAGCAAACTTTTACAGCCACAGCGCGAATGCTGTCTGGCCACCCACCAGCCCTGACACTCTACTGTTGCGTCCTGGTCATGTCGGACTTATTGAGAAAAGAAGATTTGTGACGATTTTCCGCGTGAGGCGGACGAGGGTGTCATTATCCGATACCCAGGAAAACGCAAAATGAGGAGTCACGTTGCTTTAGCTAAGAACGATTTGTTCGTCAGAGCTTTTCACTGACGTTTCGAGAGACATCCTCGAAAGAAAGAAGAAATAAATAAACAAATAAATAAGTAACAAGCAAAGAAAAAAATAAATAAATAAATAAATAAAGAAACAAGAAACAAAAAGCACGCCAGGCCAATCAGCAAACAAGCAAAGAAAAAAAAGAATAAGAGCAAGAATATAAATAGTAAAACGCGCCACAGACATGTTCGAATTCAACTCCAGCATCGATAACCCGCGCATGAACTGCTGAAGGTGGCAGCTGGACTGTCAGCAGATAAAAAAAAATATAAAAGATCAAGTCTCCACCGTCGATCAATCACTTGTGTGGGATGTGCACGTATTCTGCTTCCATTCAGAGTCCCAGTGGCTGAAGGAATGCGGTGTGGCCTATACAATGACTTGAGACGGGAGGCACGCCCTTCAATTCAATGGGTATAACGCGCTCCAATGCTACACAGAGGCCCTTTATCTGCCCGTGAAGAAATCTACCAATTTACCCGGTACCCGATGGTAGAAGGCCGAGCAGGAGTGGCGACCAGCCTTCAGCCCGTCCGTTGACCCAGGGTCTTGAACGCCCAGCGACGCCCCCGACCGGGAGGGTTGGACGCGCACTTGAACGCCTGCGCCACCGTCCAAATCACGTTTAAACCCCTCTAACTGCCAGCAAGCCAAGTTATTCGCAAAACCGCTATCGGATCACCCATTCCTTTCATTATTTCAAATAAACAGCGAGTTACCCTATCCAGTGTTACGCAAATACTGCCGCTACATATTATAAGGAAAATACTTACAAAACCAATTGCACCCAATGGTGAAAATCAACATCCGCTATTTAGGACAGGAAATCTCAAGTAAACAAAGCACATATGCGGGAGTGGTAGCTCCGGTTGTGCAAACTGGCTGCCCTTGAACGACGAGCATCAATACAGGTAATCGAGGCACGCCTATGAAAATCGCCAGAATGTGAACAGGTAAAGTTAGCTTCATTTTGATGTGATTATTGCAAGACAGAAGTGAGTAAAACTTGGTTCATAGATAGAATTCAACACACCTTGCCTGCTGTGCTGTAAGCAGTACCAGCCCCACATACTTGAACGTCGAATGATGAGTCATGCGAGCTGCAAGGAGAAGTCAATAGATGTTTTTCTTATGCTAACGGAATATATTTTTAAGCTACCGACAACTTATAGGTGGACTGATATTGAAGTAGTCTAGGAGGGACCTCAACCGCCTTCAGCGGCTCAAGGGCTACAGCATGGGGATGTTTGCGAATGTCGGGTGTGAGTACGCACCCGCCCCCCCGCCCTTCCGACGGTGGGGTCGCAGGCACGACCCCCCGCCCTCCACGCTTTTTCGCCGACCGACGAGCGAATGAGTATACAAGTCGCGAAAAAGTTTTCGGGGGGGCGGGGGTGGTATAGCATACCTATGCGCACTAGTGCAATGTATACCACGGGCGTCCAGAACCATATAGTCGGCTAACAAATCTCGACCCCCCCTTTCTTTCCCACCCAAGGAAAAACTCAAACTATGAAAATAAATTTGTCACCACATACAACCCTCCAGCAGAGCAACCAAAGTCACGGCGACCCCGCCCCGCATCGGGTTTGCACACACGATGCTGTACCCTGTTACGTCGGAGCTCCAGCAAAGGTGGGATTCCCAATCTGGGGTTGCAATGAACCATTAACGCCTCGCATGCGCACATGCGCGTTTTCCTGTGTGCATGCCAAGCGATGCACGCGAAGCCTTATCTGGTCAGTCGGACTTATCGCACAGGCAAAGGAGTGTCGTGGAATAAACTTTTGAAACGGTTTCTTGTATGTCGTAAAGGTTCATGCGGGGACCGCGAAAATTTAGTTTGCAGCTGTTCGGCCTATGGGGGGGGGGCATTTTGCACTTTTTCTGAAGTTCCTGCTATTGCATTGCTCAACAACAATTTAGGTATACGCAAGATGCATCGGCAGAGATCGATGGAAGTCGTCCATCCCCCCAAGAAGCTGTACTGCGCATTGCAGTTTATTTTCGCTGATTTTTTCTGAGAAGGCCAAAGAAAGGGTAAACGATAGACTGGTGGTTTAAATCCCTCAGATGACAAGAGTTGGCGTCCTTGCAATTCTTATTTCTCTTTAATTAATCCATGTTAGAACATTTGTCTGAGCGAAAATACGTGCCAAAACATCTGAATCTTTCGTCCAGAAGAAAAAAAAACAGAATGGTTTCCCGCTGCAGAGTTTTTCAGTTCTTTCCTGGCATTCCGAAAAATGAGGTAGTTTTGTGGTCTCAGCATGAACCGCTATAACATGCAAGAAACCGTTCTGAAAATGGGTTGCACGGCCTCAAGGACTTTCCCTGTCAGGAAGACCGCAAATTAATAGGAGAACGCAAATTAATACGACAACCCGGAACACAGCACAAGGAAGGAAAGTAAGGCAAAAAGAGGTGATTCATCGAATCTTTGGCTATAAAATTCGTGGAAACTCGTTGCATCTTCAGTGAAAGCTCGCCTCATGAGATGTCTCAATTGAGAGATACATAAGAAAACGAATTATTTGTCAGCATTTTCGAAATGTTGAAACATCGGGATCGATAGACAAGACAGAAGGGGCCGTCGATGCGGATCTCTAGCTCAAAGACGGTTCACGACGATGTTATCGCAATCCAGATACAAAGCGCAAGCATCAAAAATCCCGACAACGTCCAAACCTATGCTGAACTCATGGCCAGCTAACCGGTATTTGAAATTGTTTCGAGTAAGGCATAATGAAAAAACGGAAAAAGACGAGTCGAAGCTTTATTCTGTGCAACATTGAATAGACCACTTTTGGAAACGTTTGGAGTACAAGAGTTTTGCTGGAGGAGATTGTACGGCGGCCCACTTTCTGAATTCTGTTCTCTTCACGCACGGACTCTGACCTGGAACAATATTTCATTGAACGGACAATGTTATTGAAGGCAAAGCCGGCAATCATTTGCCAGCACATATGTATAGTGGATCAGGGGCTTGCATATACAGGGGGCCAAAAAAAGACATTTCGACCGAGTCACATATCAGCAAAGTTTTCGCAGCCCAGACAGAGGACGTGGATACGAGTACCAGGGCGGAAGATACCCAAGATGTTCCTCTATAAGCAGGAGCTGGCGCTCGCCCATCACCTTCATGTACACCAAAATATGAAGTCATCTCCAGCGCAACCTGACTGGAGAAGACCTTCGGATCATGTCACTCCGCAAAAGCTGACGAAACTTCTGCTGGAGTCACCCATGTCACCTGGAGCTATGGAAAATACTTCGATCTGGATGACCTCACATCGACAGCTACGCATGGTCGCTCGGTTCTAGGACTCATCTTCACGTATTCCAGGGCGCGTTGGATGGCTCAGCGATCCCGAACGTACCTGGGAATGGAGTAGACCGACTTATTTTTTCTTCGTGGGCCCGGACTAAAGAGTGAGTGCGCTGGCGGTTACCATCTAACTCGAGTAAAGGAGATTATCATCTCCACATGGTCGTCGCCGTCCTCTTGAAAACTTATGTGACTGCTACAAGATGGGTGCACACCATGGGGAATCGCCAGAGGCATTGAAGAGTCAACTGCTCGTTACTTGGAATGGAAAGGGCAGTGGACCTTGAAGAAGGTGGCAATATCTAAGGCAGATAACCTGACTTTAAACTCTCCTTCACTTACTTGCAGTTCAAGTAGGCGTGGTCTCACAGCGGAGAAATCAAACGATCTCGAGCTGAACTGGTCACCACCACTGATCGTTCGCGTGCGCAGAACTCTCTCGATGGACGCTCCTCCAAAAGGCTGTGCGGAGTGTCGTCGAGTAGGTATTTGATATGTTCTTTTAATATGGTGGACGTAGATAAATGTCCGATATAATTTAATAAAGTGTCACTATTATAGACCCTTCGTGAGTCGCAGGAGAAAAAAGTGACTTTTTTTGGCCTCCCTGTAGACGACAAGGGTGCTGAGTAACTCGACAGTGAAGAAAAAAAAGCACAAAAAACATGCCACCTGCCCTAGATAGAACCCCATTTCGATCCCAGTTTGTACGTGCCCAACGAACTCCATCTTCGCACTACGCCCTCACCTCACAGCTGAGTCACGGTTTCCATGCTCTTTCATAAGGCAGCTTCATTTTTCACTGAAACGCGAACCTCAAAGGCGGAGTCTATAGGCGGAGCCAATGGGAAAAAAGAGGCGTCACTGAACCTATATTGCGCTGTAGCGCCCCCACTTTTTTGCCGCGAAACCGGTACAAGGTTGTTCGTTGCAGACCGCACCCCTCCCAACGCCATTTTCCGAC